GTGTTTGTATATATATATACAAACACACACACATAATGTTTTGAATAAGATGAAAATATATATATAACCTTTACTTTTACTGCGACAAATGAAATTTTGTTCTCTTTATTATTTTACTTAATTTTTATTCCAATAAAAGGGTTTTATTTAGTAGAATAAATGAACAATACAAAATGAAATTAGGTAGAATTATACAAGAAATATATATATATATATATAATATAGTGATATGTATGTTTGACACATATTTATGGTTGGATTGGATAAACATGTTTTATTAAGTCTTCGGCAATTAACCGATAGACATTGTAAAACAAAATATACCATTGGTAAAAAGTTCTTTGTACTCTCATTTTTTAATTTTAAATCTTTCATGAATTAATTTATTAATATTTTTTAAATAATATTAAAAGTATTTTCATATTAATAAATTTACTAATATATAGTAATTTTCAATCTTATAAAAATTTAATATCATGTGTTAAAATTATAAAAAAAAAACTCATTATCCCTTCATTTTCTTTATTAATTATTATTTTATGTTAAAATAAATGAAATTAGTGCGAACATATCATCATTTTCTTTATTTCCTTCAATCAAAATATAACGTAAACAATAAAGTTTAATATTCAAAATTAATGTTGTCATCATTTAATTATGTTCAAAAACCTAAAATTATATTAGAAATGAGTTTATTAAATTTTTAATCAATTGTGTTAGTTATGTACTTAGTCAATAATGCGTGGATAGATGTGGAATCTAGTAGATTATTATGAGAAATCATTTCTTGTGATAATAATTTCTCCATCTACTATAATTAGTACTACCAAATAATCATATATGTATATATGTTATGTATACGTATACTGATTTTGTGTTCTAAAATTTTTTTGACACGTGTACATCTATGTATATGTGTAGATAAATCTTTCGGTGTCAATATGGGTCGCCATTATATAGTTATATATATATATATATATATATATATGTTAATTAATTTAATCTAATAATAATCAGTAAATGTGTAATATTTGTCAATTCTATTAGAACAAAATATTAATTGATAAAATATTCTTTTTCTAATATTGACCTTTAAAATAATTAGTCAAAATTAATAATTTTACATGGCATAAAATTTAATTTCACATCTAATATATTTATGTTTTATTTAAGATAAAAAGTTGAAAGTAATTTTTTTAAGTGAGTAATTTTTTTTTAAAAAATATATATATATATATATACCCACGTGACATATAAGAGATTTGAGAGCTAGTGATTATTTAATGTGTAAATTTAATAAATTTTTAATAAATAATAAAATTAATTATTTTACGATTACGTCAAAAAAATAAAAAAGAAAAAAACCATTCAATTAATCATTTTGTTTTCACAAATTTGCAAGTAGAGAATTTATCCTCCCTAATTGAGGATTTATTAACCACATTCAACAATTAAATTAATAAATAATTAATCTAATTTTATTTATTTATGTAAGCAATAATATAATCTAATTAAAACCTAATTAATAAGTAATGATATTTGAGATTTTCTTACTTATTAAATTAATTAAAAAATTATGAAAACAACAGTAGTAAGAGTACTCTCTCTCATAAGACTTTTACAAAGCCACCTGTCCACTTGACGCATCACCTTACCTCATTTACACCAATCAAAATCCTTTCTTTTCTTCTTCTTCTTCTTCTTCCTCTTCTTCCTCCCTTATTTCTCTTTCTTTTTTCTTTTTTAATTTTTAGTATTTCATAATAATAATAATCATTCAACAAATTTCCCCTTTTCACACTTGGTCTTCAGTCCAAATTTCCCCTTTTTAATCGCCGAGTCCATTGCCATCTTCTTCCTCTCTCTCTCTCTCTCTCTCTCTCTCTCTGAATTCTCTCTGTAAATTGTTATGGACAGAAGAGGATCTACAGGAGGAGGACTCTCCTTTCAGACTGATTCAACTTCTTTCTTCCTCTTCAAGAAAATTACTACCACTCTCCATAATAATAATAATAATAATAATACTAATAATAATAATAACAACACTACTACGTGGAGCCACGATCTCATGGACCTCTCTGCAACTACTGATCATAATCACGGACTCATGATCACCCTACAAAGAGATGACCGTGATTGTGATCCCGAGGATGATCTTGTTCTCGGCCAGCCAACGATGACATCCGACGACAAACGACGTCGTAGCATGATCAGTGAGATGGACTTTTTTGCTAATGAAAGATCCTCACTACTCAAGTTTGGCGTCAAGAAGGAAACGAGTGCAATTGAGTTAGATCATCAGCACGATGAACATATAAATGTATGTATTTCAATATATCTATATGCAGTATATACATATATATCTACTAGTCTTTTGTTTTTTCACTTTTATACAACTATAGTTTGAGATTCTGACATGTCTACATATATATATATATGTTTCTCTTGGCTTCTTCTGATTATGTCTATGTATATAGACTGGTTTAAATCTTCTCACAACGACCTCTGGAAGCGAAAAATCCGCTGCAGATGATGGAGTAACATTACAGAAAACTGAAGATAAACAAAAGGTGAGTTCATATGTATATATATATATATATGGAAATATCTATAACCTTTCTATATGGGTACGAATCTTTTCTTGATTTTCTGCAACTATTAGAGGTTCAAGGAAACTATATGTCTATATATATGGGTGTGTATATATGAAGATAATGTTTCTGGGTGCAGTTAATGGTTCTTAGGGCGGAATTGAACCGGATGAAAGCAGAAAACCAACGCTTAACGGGCATGCTTGATGAGGCGAACCATAATTACAACGCCTTACAGGCACATTTCGCTTCATTGATGCAAAGACGACAGAGTCAAAACCCTAACACAGACCTCCATGAGGTGAATATATATACGTATATGTATATAATACTAATTAGATATACCCTTTTCATATTCTACCTCTATATCTATATCCATATATGATTAATGGGATTCAGCAGAGGAGACATGGTGCAAGGCAATTCTTGGATCTGGGTCAAGCTGCCATGGCTGACGAAAGAGAGAACGAACAGTTACAATCCTGTTCACATGGCAGGTTGCAGGCGGCCATGGCTGTGAGTTCACCACCTCGGAGCACGATAGTTGAGTCCATGGCTGCTGTGCAAGATCAGAGCAATGGCCGAGGAGATCATAGTGCAGAGAGAAGTGATAATAGTAAGGAGAGTGAGGAGAGAGGCAGCAAGATTCCCAAGTTGAATTCTTCGAGGGATGTTGAAGAAGCTCAAGAGACCGTCTCCATTATCAGAAAAGCCAGAGTTTCTGTACGAGCTCGATCCGAGGCTTCCATGGTAAGAATCTTCCATTGTTTTTCTTCAAGTAATTCCTTTTTTTTTTTTTTTACCTGAAAATGTGAACATAGAAATTAGTTTCTAAACTACGCATACCACGAGGGATTAGGTCAAGTCGGTAACAATATGGAGTTGTAAAAATGCTTTTATCTTAGGTTCCTTTCTGTTTTAAATTCTTAACTTTTTAGTAAAAATTCATACATTAGTTTAGAAATACATCAACCATTCGACTAAATGATAATTAGTCTTTTTAATTCTTAATTATTTATAATTTTAGTTTTCATATTAGTCTTAAAAAATATAGTTTAACTAGAACACCATCTTGTTCTCAGAAGATAATTTCATTGGTGGTGAAAACAAAATGTTGGGTGAGATCCTATGTACTACTAATATATCTTATTGATATTGTTTTTATGAATTTTTACAAATTTTTTTGATTGAGAAATTTTTGTAAAAATTTAAAATTCAATCTCATTTTATGTAGTGTCAACTCATTTTTGTTGTTGGAGAAAAAAAAACAAATTTGTGGTAGAAAAGAATAAAAAAAAAAAAAAGGTAAAAGGAAGAGAAAAGGGAAAAGCAGTCCAGGGCAGGACACTTGAGCGAGAGCATGTATGTGGAGTTTTGCACGCAATTGTAAGTTTTGGCATGCAGCTTGCTTTTGTTGAAACAGTAGAAAGCAATAAGTAGGCAGTCAACAAAAGGAGAAAACAGTTCTCTCTACTTTTCTCTTCTTCGACTTTCAATTAATTAATTAATTAATTTCCAATTGTATAAAAATATATAAATATATATATATATATATAATCAATAATCCGATTTCATTGTGTTAGTAATCTCAAGTACTTAATATTTTTTAAAAATTAAATTAATTTTCTGAGTTATATGTACTCTGCTGACAGATATCGGATGGCTGCCAATGGAGAAAATATGGACAGAAGATGGCTAAAGGAAATCCTTGCCCTCGAGCATATTATCGTTGCACTATGGCTACTAGTTGCCCAGTTCGCAAACAAGTAAGTTATTATTATTTTTTTTTTTTCTGAAAAAATTATATTTTCATTAATTACGTAATACATGTATATATATATATATATTAATTACTATATTATGTACCATCGTTATAGGTACAAAGATGTGCAGAAGATAAAACAATACTCGTAACAACTTATGAAGGCAACCACAACCATCCACTTCCTCCTGCTGCAATGGCCATGGCCTCGACAACATCAGCAGCTGCCTCAATGCTACTCTCCGGTTCAATGACGAGCTTAGATGGCCCTGGATTGATTAACTCAAATTTCTTAGCCAAAACCATTCTCCCAGCCGCCTGCCCACCAAGCTTGGCCACTCTCTCCGCCTCTGCGCCATTCCCAACTGTTACATTGGACTTAACTTCCACAACAAGTGACCCTTATAGCTTCTCGCAAAAGAAACCCATTTTAAATAACAATAACAATAGCAACAATAACTTGTCCTACATGTTAGGACATGCCCTACAAAATTTGTCCAAATTTTCTGGCCTGTTTGGAATGGACCCTCTTCATCATCATCATATGGGCAATGGCTTGATGATGCAGACACCTTCAGTTTCTTCTTCTGCTGTGCATGATAGTACTGTAGGCAGTACCACAGTAGAACCTAGCTTTACTGCAGCTCTAATGGCGGCCATTACTGCAGTTATGGGAGCTAATAATGTTCATCAGAACAATAATGGAAGCAGTAGTACAACTACAGGAAACAACAGTGGTGATAGCTAGCTAGTAATTAGTACTTAATTAAATTAAATAATGTTTACCCTTAATTAGTATTTGTTAGTTTTAATTTTTTTTTAATAGTGTGAAAATTTCTTTGTTTCATCCTTTAAGGGAAAGTTCTAATTTAATCATTTGGTTTCTGACAATATTCTTTCTTTCTTTCTTTTCCCCTTTTGTGATCTTTATGTTTTCTTTTTTCTGATTGGCATCATTCAGTTTCTCCAGTTTGATGGTTCATATATTACATAATATATATATTTCTTTACATTTTGTATAGATATAAAGATATCTGTGATGATTCAATTTCTGACAGTCTTGGTTATTATGACTATACTTCAGAAATGATCATATGGGAATTATGTTTTTCGTTTTGGGTCTTACAGAAAACGTTGGGCTATACGTACACATGCAGTACCATTTATAAAATGAAATTAATGCACGAATATTGTATGTATATGTGTGTTTATATATATGTAGTAGTCTGCCATGATGGGTATTATGACCGATAATGATGAAACTCTGCAATATTGTTCATATGGGAATGCAGTCGCCGCTGGGTTATATAATTTTCTATATCCACATCAGTGTCAAAGAGTTAAAAATTTCATGATTTTGATCGTAAAGTGATAAAGGGTGTGTGTGCATATATACATATATATCATATCATACACATTAGATGGAATGAGGAGAGACTTCTTGGTAAATGCGCTGGGAATGGAATATTGTATTTACATATGTTGTTAGTTTTCATGATCTGCATGATTCTTCAAGAAGCTTTTATCAGTTACTTAACCGGGGAAGTTAGATAAAAACTTCAACAAAAATTAATTGTCTTAGTTTTGTGTTAAAAGGCTGGGAAAATTAAAAAAATATTAACGATGTAAATGTTAGTAAGAAATGAATTTTTATTTGTGAAATTCACTTCAAATTTTTGCTTGATATAACTATGCGAAAATTTTAATTCTTTCGGATCAAAGTTTTTATTTTAGAGAAAAATAATCTAAATCTAACCCAATTCAACTAAATTTTTCAGAAATTTGGAATGAGTTTTAGCGAGTTAGCTCAAATTCAACAAATCGGTCTGGATTTTGAAGTTTTTAACTAATTTTAGAAAAATGTGACATGTTTTAGTGAGTTAGCTCAAATTCAACAAGTTAGTTTGAATCATACGGTTTCTAATTAATTATAAATGAATATTAAAATAATATTTAGTTAATTTGGTAAAAAAAAAAAGATTAGAACATATAAAAATTAGAAATAAAATACTTATTTTTTATATTTTTAAAATTTTTTTAAGGACTAAGCATCATCTACCAAGTAACTATAGAGATTAAAATAAAATATTTAAAATTACTTATAAGCGTGATATAAGTAATTCCTGACATAATACTGAGTATATTTTCAAGTTTTTAATCAATTTTTCATGATTCGTGCTGCCCTTCTTTCTCCAAACAAATTTTTATAACACCTAAATTCTTCAATATGCAAACTTATTTTATTCATCATGTCAATTAATTTAGAACTTAAAACGTGCATGGTCTTCCTAGATGTGATCTTCATCAAATTTTCAACGCTTTGTGAGTGCAATTTCAAGTACTTCTTGTAAAGTCTCAGAACTTAAATGAAAATAAAATCATTAATTAAATGTGGAAGTAAAATAATAGAGTTAGAGTTTACATTTTTTATATAATACTTTGAATGCCCAATAGAATTATGAGAATGTCTAATCTAAAAAAAAAAAAATCAAAAAAATAAATAAAAAATAAATAACTAAGTAATCCTAGAATGACCTTTACTAACTCTTGAAGAGAGTTCGCATTGTACACTATTTACAACCTCCTTATTGATCGAGATCTGAGTTTTGGTTCTCTTGATCTGAAATAATTAATGAAGGGGTGAACTACACTAACTCAATAAGAATATCACACTAATCACAGATACAGAAAACTGAATATTGGTAAAAATCATAAAAATAAATAATGGAACCCTTAATTTAATGTAAATTCATTTACTATAAAGAAAATCATTTATGTCATATTATATAATAAGTCTTTTCTAACAATAACATATAAAAACTCATATTCATGTACTATTATTTATCACATTTAAGATGATAAGAAACGATCATTTTATATTTTTACCAACTTACCGGTACTCCTGGGGGTCTATATGGATCATTCCTATAATTATATTGGGTAATTTGAATTATTGTGTAAGGAATGTAAACCCTAACTATTTATTTCATTTTCGCACTAAATTTATAATTTATCACATTTAGAGTTTCCGGGGTCATTATAGAGGTTGCGGGTTTTGCCCGCGGTAGTGCCGTCGGGCTTTACCAACAGTTTTCAGCTTATTCACAGTTGGTTTTGCTCTAATTTGGTTATGGGGGTGCTCGAAATTAAATTCCGAACGAGTAAGAGAATTTTTATTTTTTTTGGCGATTGGAGGTGGCTCTGGTGCAGCGGCGGTCGACGGTTGGTTCCCTTCTCCGGCGACTAGTTCTTCTTCTCCGGTGGGATACTGACAGTTAGGGTTTGAGTTCAGTGTAATACGAAATATTTATACCCATATCGCGTTAATCTGTATCGTTCATCGCATTTGATCTCGATCATTCGATTGCGTTTAAAGAGAAAATAAATCTGGACCGTTCATCGTCATTTGATATTGACCATCCGATCGTGTTTAAAGGGAGAACAAATTCGGGCCGTTCACGCGTGCGTGATCGATACTGGACCGTTAGATCGCAGGGCATGCGGATCGCCCATGTGGCATCCCGAGTTGCATCGATGTCAGCGTGTCTTGTCACGCGGCGTGCTCCGGTTCATCGGAGTTGCTGACTGGGCGGTCCTACGTGGCAAAATTTTTTTTATTTGCACTTTGACTCATAGTTTCCGATTTTTCTTTCAAAACACTTTTCGAATCCAAAATTTCACCATTTTTTTAAAAAAATTATTTTTAATTTTATCCCTAACCTATTTTTCTATAAATTCAACAAAATTTAAATAAATTAATTTAAAAATAATTTTTTTTATATTTAAAATATTAAAATTAATTTCGAACTAAATTACAGGTCTGGGTATTACACTTCTAAATGCATCTTAAATTTCACACTCATACTTGGTATTTGATATTTGGTATTCAAACAAGTTTTCAAGACTTAGGTCTTTTAAGTTTCAAGCTTATATTATTTTTGATGTCAATTAATTTAGGATCTATACATATATTCTCTTAGTAAGTATAATATCTTAAGTACTCTTAAATACATCTTAAACATTCATTCATTCTTAGTATGTTATATAATTTTCTAAATTCTCGATTCTACGTATCTTTTTATAAGAACACAAATAATTTTTAAAATCTAATCATATATTAGAATTTTAATGTAATTTTAGACCCACAAATGTAGTAGGGAGAAACAAACATATTTTTATAACAAAAAAAAATTTATTAAAACCTAAAAGTAATCCCAAATTCTATACATAATTTTTCAATCTTTAAAATATTCCTAAACTTTAAACTTATTCTCATATCTTGAACATATTTATTTAAATAGAAGTTCGCTTTGAACACTCTTTTAGATTTTAGATGCATTTTTTGATTTCGAGTGTGTTTCTAATTATTTGTTTCAAACAATTTAAAGATGTAATTTTTTGTATTTATTAATAATTGTCTTTTTACTAATTTAAAAAATCATATGAAAAAAATGATAGCAATTTATCAATTACATGTTTAATTATTATATAACAAAATCAATCAATTAATTAAATGTATAAGCATTTATTGAACAAAAAGTAAATTGCATTTTAGAAATTGATAAATATGTATGATGATATCTAAAAAAATATATGTAATGAAAATTATATAACTTAAAAATAAAATAATACTTTAATTTATATACTAATAATTTAAATTCGAGTTGAAAGTATTTTTTTTCCATGAAATGTTATCCCAGAATTTATTATGCTGTCAGTACGCACAATACCCAAGAGATCAGAGCAATAGAAATCGATATAAATCTACGTGTAATATAGCAGGTGCAGCATAAATCAAATAGACCTCTCCGCATATAATCATAGCACACCAATTCTTTTTCCTCTGATGGAACTATCAACTCTTACGAAGAAAATATCGCGTCGTGACACGTGTAACTCTACCGTTGGCCAGCTCTCACATTTTTCGGGAAAGGTGGTTATGGGGAGTAGTTGTCTTCAGGCACCAGAGTGTTAAATGCACTGAAGTATCCAGTCTTCACCATTGAATTTCTACGCTCTACTCATCTTCCTCTCCGTTGTCCATCATCAAGAAGCTAGAGTTGTAAGTATTTTTTACTCTGATCATCTTACTACAGTTTCAATCGTTCTTTGGTATTTTATCTGTCGATTTTTGTGGTTTTTGTTAGCTAGTTTCTTACTTTACGGTCGTTGCTTTTGTTTGGACGATTGAGATTTTCTATTGAAGTGTTGTGTTTGGTATCTGAGAGGAAAATTAGATTGTAGGTTTTGTTTCCTTGTCTTTTACATGCGAGCTGAACTCTTTAGCATTCTTTCCATTTCGAGCTGTTTAATTTTAGTGTTTTCTTGGAATCGAATTTATTGAGAAATTAGGTGATTTTAGAGTATTGCTGGTAACAAGTTTATAGAAATTATAAGATTAATTTTCGTAGAGTTTTAGGTCATTTTCTTGCATTGTTTGGATGAAATTCGTATTAATTTTGAGTTACTCATTTTACTGTTCTGTACGAGTGTAATTAACATGGTGTCAAAACTTTGCAGTTTTCAGCATGAGAATAATACTTAGAACCAGCTGTGTTGCTCTCTTTCTCTGCCTCCTCCTGTTTCCTGCCGTTTTCTCTGTGCCGGATGAGGGATTGGTCAGAATTGGCCTCAAAAAGAGAAACCTCGATCATCTAAACCGCATGGATATCCACCTCAAGTCTAAGAAAGCAGAGTTGTTAAGATCATCTGTTAAGAAGTATCATCTTGGTGGGAACTTGGCAGTTGAAGAGGATGTTGATGTTTTGACATTAAAGAACTATCTGGATGCTCAATATTTTGGAGAGATTGGAATTGGCTATCCTCCACAAAATTTTACGGTGGTATTTGATACTGGTAGTTCCAACCTATGGGTGCCTTCTTCTAAGTGTTATTTTTCGGTGAGTTTTGAAAATGAATGCTTCAATGTCAATCACTTTCTGAAAATTTTAGTACGTGTTGGTAGATTTAAGAAAACTTCAAGACACTGTGTCTATGTGCAGATTTCTTGCTACTTGCATGCAAGGTACAGGTCCAGGAGCTCAAGTACACACAGAGAAAACGGTTTGTTTTTGCCTTTATAATTTGTTATTGTCTTAATATATCTTGATTTCACAAGATTAAATATCAATGAATTAGCAGCCTATTTAGTGTTCTTTTCTGCAGTCGCTATATATATGTATGATTAGTATCCTTAGAACTGTGACTATCTATTCTGCAAGACTTGATATATTGGAGTAGGGTTTGAGAGAGGGAAAACAAGTTGTGATTTTCAAAATTTTTTCCTAGTGAATCCAAACCCATCTCTTTGTGGTGTAGGTCACATTAACACCACGAATTTCTTTCTGTCTTCTATTTTATGCTGTGATTTGGATGCTAAATTTTTCTATATCGCACAATATCTATAGTATTTTGAATGTCTTAGTGTTTAGCACTAATTCGATCTTTGGCTGGCTCAGCTGTCTGTGCTCTGTGATATTTGTGTTATATCATGTTTTGACATTTTTCTTATGCCCATGTTAACTTCTCAATGAAAGAAGTGTGTATATATACCAACAAATTTATTGTCTTACATCACTTTTATGTTTGGTTATACACGTGCACCATATGCGTGTAAACCTACACAATTATTTAAGCAACAGGAAAGCATAAAACTGAGTATCTTGTTAAATTATGTACTTACCTCAAATTATTTTAGGTAGAATTTTCTTAAGATGATCTGATTCTCATTTAATCCTTGTCCAGGTAAACCTGCAGCTATCCATTATGGGACAGGAGCTATTTCTGGATTCTTTAGTCAGGATAATGTAAAAGTCGGGGATCTTGTGATTGAAAATCAGGTAACATATTGGTCTTGAATCTCTTTATTCTTGTCTCTACATATCTATTAATGTTTTATTAGTTTATTACCCTATTTTTGTTTGATTGTCTTCCTTTCTGACATTGCTGATCTGTTTCAGGAATTTATTGAGGCAACTAGTGAACCCGGCATCACGTTTTTGGTGGCTAAGTTTGATGGTATACTTGGACTTGGATTTCAAGATATTTCTGTTGGAAATGCTGTACCAGTATGGTATGTAATAGCATGTTTCTGTTCCTTTTCGCTGTTCTTACTTGTTTGTCTCAGTTATTAATCAGAGACGATTTCATCACATGGCAGCATTTGCAAATTCTGAGTTCATTGCAACTTTGAAGAAAAGAAAGAAATGAATTTCATATAGAGAGAGACAGAGAGAGAGCGTTGAAACTGTGTTATTCATCAGTTATCTAGAATTACAAAGTTTATATCGACAAAGATGAGGACGTTAGGAAGTTTTAGTTAGATAGCAAACAGATAACAAATAATAACTAACTTAACAGAATTAAAAGAAAAGATTGAATCTCTTCTTCCCAGCTTTTTGATGTTAAAGTGCTTCAGGTACAATATGGTCAATCAAGGTCTTGTAAAGGAACAAGTTTTCTCATTTTGGTTAAATCGCAATGTGGACGAAGAAGAGGGGGGTGAAATAGTATTTGGTGGGATGGATCCTAATCATTATAAGGGAGAGCACACATATGTTCCAGTGACAAGTAAAGGTTACTGGCAGGTTGGGTTTCTAAACCTTGATGTTCCGTACTCAAACTTTATCTAATTGCAGATTTCAGAATATAACATGTTATCTTTTTGTTGGACAGTTTGATATGGGTGATTTCTTGATTGGCCACAAAACTACTGGTAAGCAGACTATATATGTTTTTGCAAACTGCACCTGTGGGACTTGGAAAGCTGTTATTTATTGTCCTTTTGTAGTTAGCCATCCTGACTCTATAATTTTTTCTAGGAATTTGCACCAATGGTTGTGCAGCAATTGCTGATTCTGGGACCTCTTTGTTGGCTGGACCTACGGTGCGTATCCGTTTGTCTTTGTCTCTACGTATCTCTTTCTACTCTGTGTAAGCCTGTAGTCAGCTATGTCAAGTTTTGTTCCTGCCTATGACAAGGTCTGTATGTGCTAAGGATTGTAGCCAACTTTGTATAGTTTCATTCACTTTTTAATACTTTCAAGTTGGGTTTTGATTTCATTAGATTTGAGAGAGATGTTAGTCTTAGCTCACTGGCTTTGTGCACTTTTATATTTTGATTGTCTTGACTGATTTTGTTCATCTCTAGGGTATAAAGATTTTATTTCTTTTGTTCATCTAAACAAACCTTGTATCTGCGTTTACTGTTATAAATAACCAAGTTTCTGTGATCTTTCCTCATATGAGTTAAAGAAATAAATATCCTGCTTATAATGAGATAACATCAGCAATCACACTTGGTTAAGATCTTAGTTAGGCATTCTTTATACTAGGTTATTTCAGTTATTAGCTTATTTTATAATCTTGTAGGATTCTTAGATAAACTTAAGAATTTCTATTTTGATTGTAGTTTGATGTCTATAAATAATATATCATATTTTAGTTATTTGATTTATTCATGATTATTATTCAAATATTAAGATGTCGCTTGATTATTAAGATATAAGATCTCCAATTTTGATTATTACTAAAATTTCTCTAAAGTTTGTTTTCAAGTTCTCTTTTTTTTTTTTGGGATAAAAAGCGTGAATATATATATAAACAGGGTACCACCCATATACAAATTTACAAAGTTGTTAGGGTGTCAATAATATTCCTAAAATTCACATCTCTAATGATATCATGACCCAACACAATGTTAGCAAAATAATTAAACCATACGTCTTCAAGTTCTCTTTATCTCCAATTTTTTTTTTTAAATTTCAAAAGTACTCTTTATCATGCATCACTTAAGTTTCCTCTTTTAAAAATAACAAGGTTAATAAGAGGGCAATGAATGAGTTTGATGGTCTAAGTTTATTTATTACAAAAAAATGGATCTATCTACAGCATTTTTCTGGACATTTTACTCATTTATGCAGTTCCTCTTTAGGTATCAGGGTAATCTAATCATTGTTCCTCTTTATCTATGTCCTTTTTGGAATATAATAAATAAAGTTGTACCATTAATGTTTGCTTCAACTTCTACGATTTTAATTAGGCAACTGAATTATTTTCAGATGGTCTCTGACTGAGAAACCGTAGTTCAAAACCTTAAGAACCTAGCTCTTGCTATTTTTATCCACTTGTTGCCCAAAATTGAGCCTTCATGTAAACTCTTCTGTGTTTGGTTGCTACCCATATGGGTTTGTTTTAGTACATCATTTGCACGTTTTTCCCTTTTAATGTTAGTATATATACCATTTACAGGCTATTATTGCTGAAATCAATCATGCTATTGGTGCCACTGGAGTTGTAAGTCGAGAATGTAAAGAAGTGGTTTCAGAATATGGAGAAACCATAATTCATATGCTTTTAGCAAAGGTATCTGATAAAGAAGAAAAATTTCTATCATGCCATTTTTTCTTTACATTGTCTTTGTTTAGAAGTAGTTAAATAGTCCAATACTTACTTGCTGGATGACTATTATTTGTAGGATGAGCCACAGAAACTATGTTCACAAATTGGTCTTTGTATCTTTGATGGGACTCGGGGTGTAAGGTATATTTGTTTTTTTAGTACTGCCGCTGCATAGTGCTGGTGAATGTTTGCTTGAATGCTTGCAAGCTAGTGTTGTTGATTTTATGAATTTTTGTGTCCAGTACGGACATTGAGCAAGTCGTGGATAAGAATAATCAAAAAGCATCTGGTGGTTTGCATGATACTATGTGTGCTGCTTGTGAGATGGCAGTTGTATGGATTCAGAATCAGCTCCAGCAAAATCAGACAAAGGATCGAATATTTACCTACATCAATGAGGTAAAATAACCTAATTCTTATCCAGTATGTTCCTTCTCTTTGATTGTTCTAACTCTGGGATTTTGCAGATCTGTGATCGATTGCCTAGCCCAATGGGAGAATCAGCAGTTGATTGTAGCAGTTTGTCTTCAATGCCAAATGTTTCCTTTACAATTGGTGGGAAGGAATTTGCCCTCAGTCCAAGTCAGGTATTTTATCTATTAATTTTAGTCTTTTGAACTATATTTTCTCTTCTATTAAAATGATTTGGGATGTAACATTTGTGATAATTCTAGTGCTAATCGAAAGATGGTTGGGTTGTGCCATGGTAAATAGTTAGTTCTCAGCATCTGGAGTGTGACACTGGGGAACTTTCTTGTACTGGAGCATGCTTTGATATAAGATGATTGGATGAGGAAATTTATTAGCTTGGATACAAACTTGAATTTTTGGTGTCCCATCTCATTATATCTGTTTATGGTTGATTTGCAGGATACAGAAAATTATTCTGTGCCTTTCTACTCTTGGGCCAATTCCAAGCTGGCTTCTACCTGCTACTTGTAGAAAGCTTATAATAAGTTGCTATTATTCTGGCCACTAAGTGTCAGTTGTCATGATTTTTCTATCCAAATACCTAAAAGAGAAAATATTGGGGAAAACTAATAACAAGATTTCTGCTATTATGATACCTTGGATACATCGTGACTTGCAGTTACTTTCTAATATTTCATAGAAATTTAATTCATTAACATTGTGTAGTAATTAGATAACTACACAACATTGGATGATTAGTAAGTTGAAGTCCCAAATAACAAAGAAAATCTAGGAAATTACATGTCTCTAAGGCATCAGACAATTTCCCATAAGCAGGAGGAAAGCTATTGAAGTAGTGATTTTTCATGTTTTCTTTTTTCTTTTTTGGTAATTTTTATTTCTTATAGCTTTATTGAATTAAGTAAAAAGAAAATGTTGACGAGTCTATAGAAGTCGAAACATAAAAGGAGAAAGCATTCCTCTTAGTTCTCTTGGGTAGGGGTGTAAAAATCTGCCTAAAATTATTGTTGCTGTAACAGCATTCTAATTCGGGAAATTTACAATTATATTCTTTTTTTTTTTCGGTTCTGTAATAATGTTCTTGCATTGGTTCATTCGCCATATCAGTGTGTCATGTCTGTCATTGTTTCTCTTGGTGAATTCTAGGATAATATCTTTTATGCATTTTGGCATGTTGAAAAAAAGATCTCACTGATCCTTCTGTGGCACATTGAAAACCAATTTTGAATCTCCTTCTTGTTGCGTTGTTGAATATTTATCTTATTGATCTTTTTCTTTCTCTCTTTTTTCTTTCTTATTTCTTCTATCCTTTGCCATGATAATTAGTACATCCTCAAAGTGGGCGATGGAGCTGCAGCTCAGTGCATTAGCGGATTTATTGCTTTTGACGTGCCTTCACCTCGTGGACCTCTCTGGTGCTCTTTTGCCCTTCCTGTCTTTAATAAGTTACTATATGATTGGTTTAATTTGCATGTTTATGCTTTACGGTAGTGTGTCTAGATGCAGGGTTATATCTTATTGGTACATTTTGAATGCAGGATCTTGGGCGATGTTTTCATGGGTCCATACCATACAGTATTTGACTACGGGAATTTGAGAGTTGGATTTGCCGAGGCTGCATAACTGAAGTTCATTCAACTGATTCTGGTAGCTATCCTATCCCTACTACTGTTAAATGGCCTTTATTAGGGATTATATCCTGCATGCCATGTAAATATCCACGCAGTAGGATGGATAATTTCTTGTCTGAATTGGTGACTGCTCTGCACCTTGTTGTAAGTGGAGTACTTTTCACTTAAATTATGTGACTTGGTATCATATGCCCGTTTTGGATATTTTAGGCTTCTTTTTATTTTGCTAAAACTATGGGTCCTGCTCTGGCGTCACGGAGATATCATACCTCCCAAGTAATTTTCTAATTGTTTCACAGTAATTTAGTAATACTGTATAATAATCACTCAACATTGTGCAGTAATAAAATAGGTATATGAGTTTAGTGATTACCATACAAAGTTACTAAATTACTATGAAGAATTAGAAGGCTACCATAAGGCATGATGCTTCCAAGTAGCGTTAGAATTTCTTATATCTCTGGATTTCCTTTTTGTTTTCTAAACAGCAGAATCTTGAATTGCTCAACTATCTTGTAAGTGTTCGATGCGGCAAAAGAGTTCTGACTTTTGTTTTATTGGTTCTCTAGTCCTTGTAAAAGAGAAAATCAAGGTTGGGGTAGCAAGTTGGAATGATTGGGAAACTATGATTTAGCAGATACTGAGATTGAGGCCGACGATGCTGACAATTAATTGCACTTATTTAGCAGTACTGGCCTAGTTTAGGTGTAGTACACTCCATAACTATGCATAACATGCAAGTCATAAAAAGGCTATGCAGTGACACTTTGCATAGATAGGTGACTAATTGTCTGGACCATGCTATAGGTTAGTAATTGTAGAAAGAGAAATTGTTGCATTGACCTAATATATTAATTTTTATCTTATACATATGGTAATTGGATCCATCACAGACTTCTATTATACTTCGGGTACTAGAGTGAGAGCATCTAGTGGAATGTCTTGGGATGAAGATGATTTAGATGCAGGCAATTTTCGATTTTGAAGTTTAGAGACAATTTAAAGGTGTGTTCACTAGCCGCCCCAGATAGATGAAAAAAATTAGTTCAAATTGGATTGAATTAAATTAAATTCAATTTTTGATCCAAAGTCATACTTTTGATGCAAGCTCAATTTAAACCACATTACATCAACGTTCCTAATTAGGGTGTCTGGGAATTTCGTCCATACAAGCACACAATACCTTCTCCTTAGGAATTTCTCTTTGTGCAAGTCAACATTTTCGGTGTCGGCAAGCAAGCTCATGAATGTGTTTATATATATATATATATATATATACACACACAGAGAAACACACTATATATAGTAGATGTTAACTTTGAGTGCTTTTAAGTCGGATTCATAGAGGTAGCAAGGAAAAGGTTTTTAAGTTTAAATTCGATATTCACGCCATGATCAATGCCAGGCTTAGTTCTGATTGCAGTCAATAATCGAAGCTAATAAAATACTCCACTTTACCTTTTTAACATTACCTTTTCAGCTAAGCTGCTATATGATGATTGGGTGGAAAAATTAGATTATAAATACATCGCTGAAGCATCTGTTATGGTGGTAGTTCTATTCATTTAGCAACATAAACCATTTAAAGAAATGGTATATTTATAATGGGTCAATAGATAAGTTAACAGAAAAAAAGGTTCCTCTTTCTTTTTCTTATATTGAATTGCAATGCTTATCTTTTTCATATATTTAATTACTTATTTCATCCTTGTATATTTATTGTTTTACTTTAAAAAATTAAGAGAAATACTAATTTTTTACAATATATATCTTTATCTAAACACACAACTGTTTATTTTTCACAATAATTATAAGAACAAAGCACGATGGTGGGGGTTGTGAACCACCCTTTGCAAAAGTTTGTTGTGAGATGAAATGAACATGTACGTATATATGTAAATAGAGATTATTGTGTGGGAAGTTGTGTATAGCTGGAAAAGATGAGATTAAAAGGCAAGACTTCCATTGAAGCGGCGGTAAAGGATATCGGCACCGACTCACTGAAAAGTTTAACACAGAGGAGCCCACTTAATCTCAATCAAAAGAATTAAAAAGTGGAAAAAGAAAGTTTGTCAAGTTGTTAATGAACAACTGCAAAGCAAGCCGACTCGCACCTTTTTTAAACATTACTGCTTCTTCTTCTTCTTCTTCTTTTTGCTTTCCATTCGAGTCACTGTTGGTAAATGTACGAGTGTAATTTCACAGAGAAATAAACATGCATGGCTTTGAATAACAAGGTAAGCTTCAAAGCAAGGTAAAATTATATATGAATCAAATATATATATTTGATTTTAGATTGAGATCTGAGACCCATGAGTTTCAAAACATTATACAAAATAATAAAAACTAAGTAGGGTTTATTACTGATTTATTAATTTTTAATCATTTAGACTCGAGCTTGATCTAGACTCTTAACAAAGTCGAGTGATCTTTGTTTAAACCAAAGAGAATTAATTGATTTGACCTTCTTCAATCTAGTTCTTGAGTCAAGTCTGGCCCCATCTATTAATTTCATTTGTTAAAATCAAATTTAAGTTAAACCAACTCAAAACATATAACAAACAATTTAATTATTTTACCATCAATTTGAATAAAAAAATATATTATAATTTTAATAAATTCTATACGAAAACAAAAGTCATTATTATATGGTAAACAAATGGTTAAGATTTTGTGTTTTATTTAAATATTACGAATTTAAATTTTATTTAATATATAAATTTTTTTATTATGTGAGTTTATTATAACTTCACGGTGGCTGACAGATAATATTTAAATGAAACACTTAAACCATTAGTGTGATTGTTTTATTATCAAGTTAAGTAAAAAAATATATTATAATTTTAATATATTTTATATAAAATTAAATTTATAATTTATCAAAAGTAATGCTATCAATAATATGGTGGATTAATGGTTAAGATTTATACATCTTATTTAAAGATTATAAATTCGAATCTTATATAATTTTTTAGTTTTTATAGGTATCTGACCAATAATACTTATACCGATCATTTAATTTACTAATATGTTCGTGGAGTTATAGTGATCAAATTGATATAATTTTCTTTAAACTTCAATGAAATAAACATTATATGCTAATCAAATTTATTTAGTTAAAATAGTAAGAAAGGATTAAAAGCTCAATGTATATGTAAATATAAATATACATATTTAAAAGGCAAATGTAACTTCAAGATATGAAAAAGCTCCCTCCCTTATCATCTCATGATTGGGTTGGCTTGATGCATACTCCTGCAACAAAAAGCCTGCATGTATGTTGATGATCTTCATTGCTGCAATCCACCTCTACTTTCAACATTTTTTATATCTAAAAATCCTTTTTTTTTTTTTTTTTTTGTGGTTCCAAGGGGTTAACTTACAACCCCCTTTGCTTTCTATTCGATTCCTCCCTCTGTTTCTTTCTCTTTCTCTTTTCTTTATTTTATTTATTAATACTAAAAAAAAAAGGCTCAGCAACAGATCTGCAGTGGTCTTGACACAAAGAACCAAAAGATGCGGCACCGTATTGTTAACGAAACCTTTCATAAGACGACTTCCCCTTTCACACTGCAGAATTCATTGTAACAACACATTATATGTATCTACACACATATATATATATATATGTACATACATACACACGTGAGGATGATTCTGGGGTGGGTTGAAGTTAAAAGTTTTTCAGCTGAAGATTTTGTGGTTGCGTTTGGGTGAATTTATGTTTAAATCTTAATTTATTTATTTTTTATTTTTTTTATAATAGTTTAAATATATTTCTACATGTGAATATGATCTAATTATAGTATTTCAGCTACTTCCGAATTCTTTAATTGTAAAAATTGAACCGCAAATTTAGAAAAGAGAAATGTGAAAGAACAAATTATATTCTAACCCCATATATATATATATATATATATATATACACACACTAGAACTTAATATAACAAAAATCTCCCAGTTGAAAAACCAAAAAAAAAAATAAAACCTGTTCAAAGTGTTTTTGTTGATATGTTGACCGAAACAGTGTTGCTTGAAGAGTCAACAAACGAAGGTACACGGTAATCATGATTTATAAACCATTTTCAGGTTACCCCCAAGCACTCAAAACATACAAACCAAACGGGCTATATAGATATATAGATATATATATGTATATTCGTGCATGTGATGTGAAGGGTAAATAGAATTTGGTCAAAGCTTATGATTATACTTTAAATTTTATTTATTTATATATATATATATATATATTTTTTTTTTTTTCTGTAATTCGATACTATATATATGTATGTATATTATATCATGTTTAAAGCAATTTATGTGTTGAGAACTGAAAAAATAAATTAGGGTTAAATTGCTTGTAAAGCTGACATTTAAGTTGCTTTTAATGAACCATTTTGTTTAATTAAATGAGTTACTTCTCTCATACTATTTAAAAACAGAGTTTATTCACCTAAATTTTCGAATTTACTTTTGAATAAAATTTAAAATTTTCAAGTAAATAAAATTTTTTAATTCTAGAATTTAGACTTCTGATTTTGGTCTTATTATATTCTCAAATTTAAATGTGAAGGAAAATTCCATACCAAATTTTATTTTACCATTTACAAATTAGTGTTTATTTTTTTAATTTTTTTTAAAAAAACAGAAAATTAAATACCCCACCAAATTATATTTTATTTTTTAACCTGTCAAC